AGAAATCATTCACCAAGAAAGACCTGTATCACTTTCCCAACATCCATGAGACCCTCTCCGACAGGCGGTTCATCCATGGGAGCTCTGTGAAAACTCCCGAGGCTGTCCGGCAGCATAGCCATTGTCTCTGACTCCAGAAATGTGCCGGACACTTGACCCCTGCCCAAGGAGGCAGCCTCCCCACAGGCTGAGATCGTGGTTCTCACCCTGACACCCACCCTGGCTTCCACCTGGCACAGATGACAAGTAACCCACCACCCACTTCACTGTCCCACACCCATCTGGAAACAGGAGCTTCCTCCGGGAGCAGGGCGCATCGCCGTAACAGCACGCACAAACACTTTTGCAGGTGGCAGTTTGCCACGGAGGCGGCTGTCCTCTACTGCCTTTCTCACCAAAAGTGATCCCGTCTCAACGTGGTCCAACAGCCTGGCTGACAAAACCATCAGAAACTGCCCTAACCTGAACCCCCCAGGGCCTCAACACCTGGCCCCACGGCTCCCACTGTTCCAGATTTCCAAACCCAATGCTCAGGCTCCCAAATCGGGCCTTATGGTTCTGGTTTCAAACCAGGCCCCTGGCTGTGTTCTTTTACTGGGTCGCCGCAGTTTACCTGCAGCAGTACTTACAGCTATATTTGTTACGCAGGCCTGTGAATTTATCCTGTTGGTCAAGTATAGAGGAATATAACAATTTAGGTTCATAGACATGGTAATTACAGTGGGTTGGTTATTTAGTGTTAATTTTTTTAAAATCTGGGTTTAGTGGGATCAGGAGCCAAACATAATCAAGTAGATCACATAACTATTCACAAGGCAAGCAGAGGATCAAGTAGACCATAGGACTACATGAGTGTATCTGTAGCTACATACAAGGCAGGACATTCTGACTTCTAATAAGCAGGACAAAGCACTTTTAGGGCGTGGGTGAAAAAGAATGTCAGGTTTTGGGAATCTAGGAGAAGGTAGCGTTTTAGGCTGTGGGAGAACCTATTAAGATCCCGTTAAGGAATACTCCTATAAGACTAAGTGGTGAATATTATTTAGGGGATTGGGAATGGAATTCAGGGTAGTAATGGAACATATGTCTGTCGAATAAATTGGAATCTAAGAGGGATTTTAGTATCAGTGATAAGGTGTCTAATAATGATGCCAGTAAGAGCTACCACTTGTAGATTATTGAATTTACATAAGGCCCTGTGTTACATAAAATACATGCAAAGCATATATTACCTAGAATCTTTATAATAATTTCCAATAGAGAAGCTTTCCCATTTTACGAGTGGAAAAATCCCCACTGAAGCACAAGGAAGGATATGTAATCTGTACAACCTCAAATAGCAAGTGAGGGACTGAAGTTGAAAACTGGTACTACACCATGTGACTCCTAAAATTCCAGCATGACCTGCTTATTCTAGGTCATTGGGATTGGTACTTGGTCTGCTAATTGAAATAAAATTCAATTAAAATAGATGATCATGCAGGTGGCGTGTGTAGGTGGTGGGTGACAGACTCGGCCTTGGTTAGGCTGACTCTGACTCAGTGAGGGGACACGTAGCGGCTGTGGCCACAGTAACAAGCCACTGTAACAGCTCTTCTGCTCCAAGGGGAGGGTGGGCAGCAGAAGGTGCTCAAGAAGTGCCTTGTTTACATGGAATCTGAGGTTGAAATTCCATGTGAGAGCGGAGAATGTCTGGCAACCCTTTTCTTTCCTGGTGGTGACAGAGTTGAAGTACCTTGTCTGCTGTCTGAATTCTTCCAAGTGAGATGGAACAGTGCAAGGGCCGCTGGATTATAGATGAGAAAACAACGACCTGCCCAGGGCTGCGCTGCTGGGAGATGGGAAGCTGGGAGCTGCCTTACTTTTACTGTCTTTCCACTGAGCCTCCCTCTGCCATCTCCTCATGATGGTTAGGGCCGGCAGTGTCTGTGATGGGCCTAGCACTCAGCATGGAGGCCGCTGTGGGGACTGGGAGGCAGTGCTGAGAGCCGAGGAGAAGAGGGCATCTACCTAAAGCAGTGCCGTGCAAGTGAGGTCCGTGGCTGCTCCTTATGGGAAGGAGGCTGTGGTGAACATCACAGGGGGTTCACGACGGTAGGAGTATTCAGGCTCTCCTGCCCCGCGCGTATGTAAGGCTCTTAGTGATCTTTCAACTGGACGTCTGAGCTGTAGAGATCCAAAAGTGACCCATTCTGAATCATCATTGTCATCTGGGAGACCATAAACACTTGAGTATTTTTTAAAAATTTGAACAGTTTCTTCCTATTTCACAATATCTATTATACAGTTTGATCCTTATTTATACTTTCAGTTTCTCACACCAGAGACACAATGCAATATTTACACATGTGTGTCCAATTTATTTTACTTAAGATTGTGGTCTCTAGGTCCATCCATTTAGCTATAAATGTCTCTAGTTCATCCTTCTTTACGGCTGAGTAGTACTCCATTATATATAAAAAACCCCACATCTTTTTTATCCATTCCTTGGTTGATGAGCATTTGGGTTGTTTCCAAGATTTAGCTATTACAAACTGTGCTACTATAAACATGGGTGCACATATATCACTGCGGTATGATGTTTTTAATTCTTTTGGGAAGGTACCCAGAAAGGACATAGCTGGGTAAAGTGGGACCTCCAGTTTTAGTGTTTTTGCAGAATCTCCACACTGATTTCCAGAGTGGTTGCACCAGTCTACACTCCCACCAACAGTAGAGAAGGGTTCCTTTTTCTTCACAGCCCCACCAGCTTTGTTGTTGGATGGTTTCTTGATCATAAATACCCTTTCTGGAGTGAGATGGAATCCCAGCATTGTTTTAATTTGCGTCTCTTGAATGAACAGTGATGTTGAACATTTTTTTCACATATATATTTGCAGTTTGTACTCTTCCTCTGAGAAGTGTGTATCTCAGATGTCCATTTTTGAATTGAGTCTTTAAATTGGGGGGGGTCCTGTTTTTTTCAGTTCTTTATATGTTCTAGATAGTAGACCTTTGTCTGAGTAACAGCTGGCTAAAATTTTTTCCTATTATGTCAGTTGTCTCGTAGCTCTATTGGTGATTTCTTGGGTTTTTTTTTTTTGGTACCGGGGATCGAACTCGGGATCTTGGGTTTGTGAGGCAGGTGCCAGAACCACTGAGCTAAATCCCCAGCCCTGTTGGTGATTTCTTTTGCTGTGCAAAAGCTTTTAATAAGATTAGGTTCCAGTTGTTGATTCTTTCTAGTATTTCCTTTGTGGTCGAGGTTTTTTATTCATGAAATCTTTGCCTATACCTATGTGCTCAAGGGTTCTACCTATTCTCTCTTCAGTAGATTTAATGTCTCTGTTTTAATATTTAGGTCTTTGATCCATTTTGATTTTAGTTTAGTGCATGGTGAGAGACATGGGTCTAGGAAGCCAGTTTGTCCAGCACCACTTATTGAAGACGCCGTCTTTCTTCCAGTGAGGGTGTTTGGTCCCTTTGTCAACGATAAGGTGGCTGAGTGTTTTTGGGTTTGTTTTGCATCTTCCAATCTGTTCCAGTGATCCTCAGGTCTGTTTTTTTTTTTCCCCAGTACTGTGCTGGTTTTTTTTTTGGTACTGGGAATCGAACTCCAGTCCTTGTGCTTGTGGGGCAGGCAGCAGAACCACTGAGCTAAATCCCTGCCCTGTACCATGCTGTTTTTATCACAGTAGCTCTGTGGTATAATTGCAAGTCAGGAATTGTGATGCCCCTGCCTTGCCTTAGTAGTTCCCAGTGAATTTTAGGGATTCATTGCAGTTCTGTGAGGTATGCTTATGATATTTTGATCAGGACTGCATTAAATCTGTGTAACAATTTTGGAAGTATGGCCATTTTCACTATGTTGGTTCTTCCTACCCAAGAACAAGGGATGTCTTTCCATTTTCTGATATCCTCTTCCATCTCCTTTTTCAGAGTGCTGTAATTTTCCATGTAAAGGTCTTTTACTTCTTTGTTAGATTGATTCCTAAGTATTTCATTTTTTGGGTGCTATTCTGTTGCCCTAATTTCTCCCTCAGTGAGTTTGTTTTTTGTGTACAGGAATGCTGTTGATTTGTGAGTGCTGACTTTGTATCCAACTAAGCTACTGAGGTATTAAATCTAGAAGTCTTTTGGTGGAGTTTTGGGGATCTTCTATGTAGCGTAGCATGTCATCTGCAAATAATAACTTCTTCCTTTCCTGTCTTTATTCCTTTTATTTCATTCTCTTGTCTAATTATTCTGGTTAATTTTCCAGAACTATATTGAATAGGGGAGGTGATAGTAGAAATCCTTTCTGATTTTAGAGTGAAAGCTTTCAGAAAAAATTTAGTATTTTTAAATCATGTTATTACAGTTATTGCCCTTTATCAGTGAATGTTTCATTTTAGATTATTTACTTTGTGGAACATTTACCTTCTCTTATTTGTTACCATGTCTGAGTTTACAAACTAATTTTAATATTATTATCACCCTAAGTATATGAAAGAATATGCAATGTATGGAATTTCGTGAACCCTTCTGCCTGTAAACATAGACAGGAGCTGTTTAAGTGGGTTAGGTCGGTTACACTGTCAGAGAAGGACACAGACACGTTTCTGGTGATGGAAACATAACCTTCTGCTTATTCTTTCATCTCGCTGTACTCCAGCTTGTTTTCCCTCATTAACCGGAATAATGGTAAAAATCTTGAGCAGCTGCTTGCCCCACCCTTCAGCATCACTTATCGAAGAGGAGCGGAGAAAGGAAAGGAGGAGACCCTCCTAGCCCTGGGAGTTTGGGGCTTTCCCCTCCCCACCTTTTAGCAATCCTCTTTGCCAAGTGTCCTGGAAGGCACCGATGACAAAAGCAAAACAGAAGTTTAGATAAGCTCGAGGATTTGGGATGAATGGGTCCATTTAGTCTTGGTTAAGGTTAGCAATCTGAATATGTTAGACCTTTGTGGTCTAATATTTTTTCTGAGTTTGGTTAATAAGTGAGTTCATGACATTTACTGCACTTTTAAATATTTGTTCCAGCTACGAACTTGTCAGATACCTCAGACAGCACATATGCAGCACTCTGGGGCCCATGATTGAAGAGGAAATGGAAAAGTGCGCCTCTGAGAAGAATCAGGGTGAGGAGCCGGGCTACGACACGGTGGTGCAGTGCGTCCTCGCCAGGGTCCAGGAGTCCGCACAGTGAGTGTGCCCTGTCCCCGGCGCTGCCCGGCCGCCCGTCCTCCAGCAGGAGGCAGCCTCCGCGCCCGTTTCTTCCCTTACTTCCGCTTTGTTTTTCCGGTTAGCTGCTTTGTCACTGATTGAGAAAGGACAGCACAGTATTGATTTTCTGCTTATTGTCAGTGTCTCCTCCTAGAATCCAAGCCTTACAAAGACGATTTTATCTTTTTTTTTTCTTTAATCTTTTACCTATTTCTGTATCCTATGCATGGAAAATAAATGCCTGGTCCACCTTAGGTGCTGAACAAACAGGTATCTGCTGATGGAATCAGGGCAGTGTCGTGGCCAGCACCATGTACTGTGCCCCGGATCACGGTGATTGGCTTGGTGTGGACCCCAGCGTGCAGTGCTAAGAGGGCAGAGCCTTCCAGAGGTGGGCTTAGCGCAGGGCTGTGCTTCGAGGGATCAGGAGGTCTGCCAGCAGGGCTGTTTGAAGGAGCAAGACTGTGCCCCACCGCCCCACTGGCCCTCCAACTTGCCATCCTGCCATCCTGACCCCACCCAGTAAGAGGTCTTCACAACAGGAGCTGAGTGGAAGTTGTTCTTTACAGAGTATCTAGCCTCAGGGATTTTGTTACAGCAAAGGAAAACAGACTGATGAGCTGATGTTGGAAATAACTCATGGCTTTAGCAGTAAATGATTCTCTTTCCTTTCCCTTATCAGTCATGAGCCAATCACACATTTAATGGGTCACTTCTTCATGTCACATGTTAGATGTGGCCCATACAAATGAATGAGAAGTCTGCCCTCCTGTAACCCATGGGGAAGTGGGGAGTTTAACATTAGACTGAAATAGAAACTTGAAGTAGTTTCAGTACTGTACGGCAAATGCCGTGATATATGCAGAAGCTTCCATGGAAACGTGACGAATGCGTTGAACAGCTGTGACAGAGAGATGTCAGAATTCAGTTGGGCCGGGGGTTTGGCTCAGTGGTTTTGCCCCCTGCTTTGCAAGCGCAAGGACCCGAGTTCGATCCCCGGTACCAAAAAAAAAAAAAAAGAGAATTCAGTGGCTCAGGGGAGGTTTCTTCCTCTCAAACAGTGGTTGGGAAGTACCTGTGGGCAGGTGGACGGTGACAGCCAGGTGTCATTCTGCAGTGGTGTCCTGTGCAGGGCCGTGTGCTGAATACTGGAGGCCGCAGATGACCTGAAAGGGAAAGAACATCCGCTTGTCCCGGTGGACCTTGGTCTCACCACAAGTGGGAAGTCGGGTAGCTCCATGGGACATGTTTTGCCAACCCCAGCATCAGAGACCTTGGGGTATATACTTCAGCCTGTGTTTCCTACTGAGTTTTAAAGCACTAAGTCAGATTTATTTTTAAAATAAGTGTCTATTACTTTGGACAGCAGTTTTTCCCTTGGTGACAGCTGATTATATTATTTAAACCAAATACATTATTAGTTGGACAAAGTGATAGTGTACAGCTATCAGTAACTTAGCAAGTTTAAACCTCTGTGAAAAGCCATAGAAATTAACATTTTATTTCTTGAATTTTAGAAAAAAGAAGAAATGGAGTCCTCTCTCTTTGGATAAGGTTAAAATTCCTAGTCATCTCTAGCAGTTTTGTTAAATTTACTGTAAACAGAGTGCTAAAACATTTTGTAGTAATTTAGATAATGTATTTTAATGATAAGGGCAGTTTTATGTGATACTGCTAGGAAATTCCTTTAAATTTCTGTCTAAGCTATTTAATTCCTATGTTTTAGTTCATCCACATGTAAAAATTAATACAATAATAACTGCCTCACAAAGATTTTAAATGACTCAGTGAATGTTTGTCTTCTGCTTTATGAATCATGGATGAAAGATTTTACATTGTACAGAACAGTATTCAATGTTTTTGTGATTCTTCAGAAATTACTTTGGGCTAATTGGCCACATTGCATCTACTAACGATATTTAATCACTGTAATAATGACAAAGTACTTTCCTCATTAAATATTTCAGTATTTATCTTTTGAATAGAGTTTGCCCACAGAAGCATTTACTGTTACTCTTGCAGCAGTGGAAGAGCATGCTGTGTGGGTTTTCAGGGTGACGTGCTTTTAATCTGAGCTTCTACTTTGTGGCTTTGGTGCCTGGCATATTCCAGGCACCTGCTGTAGGCTGTGTCTGCTGTTCCTCAGCTTTTTCAAGTGGCTGCTGCAGTGGCTGCTTTTGAATTCTAGTTCATGTAACTGGACTTTGACTGCCTGGCACTCTAGTTTTTGTTTAATGTAATTGCGGTGATTATTATCCTGTGATACTTTTTGCAGAGGAATCCGTGTTGGACTTTGCCAGAAGATTAGAACGTTTTTGTCCAACTCAGAGTCTCGGATTGTTTTGTGAACTTGAGTTACCTTGCTTTCACCCTGCATGTTGTTGGTATCACTTAATGAGGACGCGTGAGCCTCAGCAGGCGCAGTGGGGACTGTGTGGCGTTCACTGCACTCCGCGTGCAGGCCTGCAGGCAGCTGGGAGGAGCTTGCTGTGGCCCCGCGCAGGGCCTGTGGAGAGGAGCGGGCTCTGGCTCCGTGATGTGACCCGCCCGCTCCTTTGCGATCAGTGCAGGGCGCTCCGCCCCTCACAGCCGTCTCTATACATCCCTGTCCTCCCGAGCTCCTGTCTTCTCCCCGCTCGGCTGCTCCTGCTCTATTCGTGCTCGCTTTGTGTTCAGTGTTGTCTTTTCCTATGACTTCTGGTAATGTACCATATGCACATGTGTGAAATACATGCATGCGAATGTATAGTGATAAGTAAGTGTATGTTTCTAGCTGTATTGCACTACGAGTCCATTTTCGGTTGCATGTGACAGCTGACACACATGACCATACACAGCCTCACCTGTGAGTGAGCCCGCCTTGCACGCTGTGGCGACCCCTGAGGGGGCAGTGAGTGTGGCAGGAGGAGCGCCAGGCTGGGTGGCTCCTGCAGGGTCTGGGCATGCTGCTCGGCCCTGCTGCCCGCTTGGGCCGAGGCCTGGGCCGAGGGCTGTACCTGCAGACCGCGACCTCCCGTGCCGCGCAGCCGTGCTGGGCTAGGGGCCTAGGCTGGGGCCGGTCCAGTCCTCCGTGTGGTTCTCAGCCCGGAGTGGGCGGGCTGGTGGGCCCTGTGCACTGTCCCTGTGGGCCCTGGATCTGCCCGAGGCTCTGCAAATTCGGCTGCTGCTTCTCCGCAGCTCCCCCGGCAGGGTTGCTCTCCAGGAGGCAGTGCCTGCCCTGGATGTGATTAGCGAGTTCCGGTGACCGCCCGCCACCAAGGAAAGGAGGCGTTTCTGCACTTATTCCCCATGCATCGCCATGTAATAAACAAGCCACAGTGCTTTACCTGTGCAGACTGCTTCAGATATTCAGTTACTTCTTTATTTCTATCGCCCTTAGGATATAAGCTAGTGAGGTGGTACTCTTTCTACTTCGTTTTATAGTTGAGAAAATTGAGATTTAATTTCTGACGACAGAACTGCTAAGTTGTTAGGGTTACAATCCAGGAGTATAATTTTAAATGTAGTACTCAATGAACTGTGTGTATTTACATTCTTATGCCTTTTTAATTTTAAAGATAGAGATGTCAGTGGTCCAGTTCCCATATTCCTTGTTTGTAAAATAAAAGGACTAGGCTTTATGGTTCTTCCTAGATCTAAAATTATATTTCTAATTATTTTGGACATCTCAGTCCAATATAATGTAGATTCTTGACTGTGCTTAAAAAAGAGAATTTTATCATTAGTTATGTTTGAGAGTTTTAGACAGAGGTGAAAGAGGTCTTAGAAATTATCCAGATAAATTCGTACCAATGTCTGAAATCCCTCTCCTGACCTTCCTGTTACGGGCTGTCTAGGGCCTGTGTGAAAGGCCTGCTTATAGCTCAGCTCACACTGAGGTCCTGAGTGTGGACAGCAGGTGCCCGTCGGGGCTGCCAGGGCCTGGAGCTGTAAAGCACAGGTAGGGAAGAAGAGAGGAAACAAAGCACAGAGAAGGAGAGAGAAGCAAGACGAGAGAGGGCCGGGATGTAGCTCAGTGCAGCTGCGCCTGCCTCGCAAGCACAAGGTCCTGAGTTCGATCCCCAGTCCTGAGAAGAGAAAACAAAACAACAACAAGACGAGAGGTAAAAGCAGTGAAAAGTAGCCTGGCTTTTGGTTGTACGATATTCACAGTGGATCTCTTTGTGCTGATTGGAATGAACACCATTGAAGCATGCAGCCTTAGATTCTGTTTTCTTACTGCTCTGGCTTACGTGACTATGAAAAACCCCAGGAAGTGGAACACTTCCCGATTCCCTGTTCATTTTCATTCCTGTTTTACAGTTTTATTGTAGCCATTTAAAAAGACATTCACTTAGATTTTGCTCTAGCACTGCGTCCTTACAGGGAAGAATCGAGTCACTTAGCCGAGTTGACGGCTGTGATTTTTGCTGACACTTTCTCACTCAGCCTCCTTTGCATTTGCAGGTACAAAGACATGATGCATTCCCTGAAGGGTGTCATGACGGCCATGGTGGGGTGCATGAGTAGTGGGTTTGAGGAGCAGGAGGAGGAAGAGGAGGAGACGCAGAGGCCCGAGAGGCAGAGGAAGGCGCACAGGGAGAAGGGCAGCAGGCACTGCACAGACAGCTGCTCTGACAGCGACTCCTCCTTCAGCCAGGTGAGCTGTTGCTCTGCAGTTACCTTTGCAAGTGGTGTTGTGATCCTGGGCTTGCAATAAATCCTTTGTTAACTGGATTTCTTCTGCTTTCTTATTTAAATATTTAGAAGAAAATAATAAAATAACCTAATACTAATGGCTTCGTCAGTGAAATGCTACCATCTGACAGAATTCTATGTGTAGTGTTAAATGTGTTATATCTGAGATCATTCTTAAAGAGGTGAAAAATCTATTAAAATTGTACGGGAGGAAACAGATCTGCTTAAGTTTTAGTTAAAGCACCTCATTCTCAAAATGCACACGTTGGCACACGCCTGTGATCCTAGCTGGTACTCTGGGAGACTGACGGAGGAGGATTGCAAATTTGAGTCCAGCCTGGGCAACTTAGCGATTTAGTGAGATCCTGTCGCAAAGTAAAAATAATTTGGTGGAAATGAGGTCATAATTTCAGAAGATATTCTTGTTTTAAGCTTTGTTTTGACTCTTGAGAAGGAATCGTGGCTTAACACAGTCACAATGGGCCGTGATTTGTATGTCTTGGGGCTGGGCCCCTCTGGACCACCGAGCTACCTGCCGGCAGGGGGCAGGCCCCTCGTGGTGCAAGCCGTCTGGTGGGACAGTCACACGCACACCACTGATGGCTCCCGCTGCTGGGAGCATGTGAACTTTCTCTGGCTTCCTTTGGGATTCCCACCGGCTGTATTTGAGATTTCAAGCATCTGTCCCATGAAGAGGACTGTTTCAGAAGGAAAATTGGGTGGGGCTGAACTCTGCCCTTAGAGAGGCATAGGTCCCTGCACTTTGGACAGGAGAGTGTGAATACTAGCACGTCCCACAGAGCCCTTGCAGGGAGGGCAGGCTTGGAGGTACCTGGGCAAGCTTTTGCTTTTTGGAAAAGCAATAGACTGAAGAGAGGTTGCATTAGTGTGTTCGTAATTGAAAAGGTCTCTGAAAATATGTCAGCTATTTATTCCATTAGGCAGTGACTTTTTAGGTGCCTTCAAAATTGTCGTCACTTGTTCTGGGCATAAAAACGTGTCTGAATGTGTCTGTGGAAAGCATCATGTGGAGAGTTTTGATGCTGCTGTTTTGACACCACCTGCATTGTGCGAATTGAGTGGCCTAGCTAGTGTTTTAGAATTGCATCCCGATTATGTATGGATTTTTGATCCATTACTGAGAAGCAGGAAATTATTACGTAAATTTGCAGCTATTGAAGACTGGAGGGGAGACAGTGGATTTTGCAGTAGTGTAAGCAGACCTGTGCAAGGGTTTGGGTCGTGGCCAAGCCGGAAGGAAGAGCCTGCCGAATGAGCGGCGCCCGGTAACATTAGCTGTGTGCTTCGGAGATTTCTCCTGCACACTGGCTGCTCTCTGCTCGGCTTCCTGTTTGTTGTGACTCGCTGCCCCACTGGACAGGGAAGAGTGGCAATCGTAGCCCCGTGATTCCCGCGTTGGAATCTCTCCTTAGGGACAGGCCTTGAGCTCAGGCCGAGCCGAGCCCAGCTCCTCAGCCTGCCAGCTGTCTGCAGACGCTTGGGCTCCGTCCACTGAGTAGGAGCCAGTGCCTCCCCGGGGCTGGTGCTTCCCGGAGCGGAAAGGGCGCTCAGAGGGTCAGGCCATGCGGCGGCGCAGTTCCCGCCCTGCAGGCTGCTGTGGCTGGGGGGAGTCTGAAGAGCTGCCTGCGGCTCTCAGCCTGGCCGGACGCTGGACGCGGGAGATGGCTGTCCCCTCGCGTGACCGGCGCTCCTCTCCTGTCCTCTTCCTCCGATGTTCCAAGGGGTGCGCCCTCCAGCGCGGGTGCTTCACACGGAGCTCAGGCCAAGAGGACCTCTCCGTCACCCCGCAGGACACGCACAGGTTCACAGCGCTGCCGATTCCTTGCTTTGCAGCAGGCCCCGCAAGACTCACCCTTGCCCCCCTGTGGGGCACAGTGAGGGTCCCCTCTCCGCGTGGCAGACGCGACCCGGCTGACCGCCATCGCCGCGGACACCCTGCCCTATCAGGGTCTCGTGGGTGGACTCAGGAGGGCAGTGAAGAGCAGAGCTGTTGGGGAGGAGATTTCTGCCCAGCCCTCCTCCTGTCTGGGCCATCATGTTCCCCTGCCTGCACTCGCTTGTAGCTACCCTCGTTTCTCTCTCTTTTTTCCCCATTAACTTTATTGGTACATTTTAGGTATAGAATACAGTTACATTCATCACTGGGATCTGGTACCTTTACATGAGTCTCTTGGTTCTTATTTTTTTCCCCCTTCCCCTGCTCTCCCTTCACCCCCTCCACCCTTCCCTATTTGCAAAGACTTTGTTTCCATTTTTTTCTTTTCTCATATTTTTTCTTTTCCTTTCTTTGCTTTCCCCTACCCTTCCCACTTCCCCTGCTCCTTTAGACCTTTTCTTCCTGTTACACAATATCAGTTATACATTTTTTAAATTAAAATATCAAGATTTAGGAGACATTACCACAGATTTTACAGAATTTAAAAGGATATAGAAAGCATATTACAAAAATCTTTTTTGAAATAAATTTGACAACTTCTAAGAAGTACCTTGGAAGACAAATTAATGAAACTAACTCTGGAGGAAATATCAAATTTGAGAATAGCACCTGTTAAAGAAAGTATATTCCTAGCTTGAAAACCTACCTATATGACAACAGCAGGCTCATAAACATTTTAACTGATGAATTATATCAAACAATTAAAGCAGAAAAAAGAAGGAACACTTCTCCCCACATTTTAGGAACTCAACATTGTGCTAATCCTAAAACTGGATAAAGATAATAGAAGAAAAAAGTATGAACATAGATAGAAATTTGTTTAACAAAACAAACTATTAGAAGTCAGATCTGGCAGGATGTAGAAAGTGGTTTTGTTATAGGGATGGCAGTGTTGGTTCAGCATTGGAAGATCCACCCCCAAAAGTCATCATTCTAACAGAGGAAAGGAGAAAGCCATATGATCCTGTCACTAGTTGGAGAAAAAGTACTGGACTAAATTCTACAGCTGTTAAAGCTATTAGGAGACTAGAAGTAGAACAGAACCTTCTCAACAGATTAAAGATACCCTCGTTTCTCTTTTACCTCACTCACTCTTTAGATCTCAATCAGAGCATCTTGAGTTCAACCTGTTTTCTGGCCTCTTCTACAATATTTCATGCCAGGGATTTAGCTCAGTGGTTCTGCCACCTGTCTTGCAAGCGCAAGGACCAGAGTTCAATCCCCGGTACCAAAAAAATTATTTCACACTCTGCAGTAGTCTTTTCAGTGAGAAACTCTGCCTTTGAGGACTTCGTGCCATGCTGGGGTATTTCAGGACCTTTGTCTCTTCCCCAGTGTCAGGCAGAACCACAGGGCCAGCAGCAGCCCAGCCTGCATGGGAATCTGGCCCTACCTCTCTCTGTCTTCAGTTGACAAGATTTTACTCTTTCGTATTACCTGTTTTGCTAGCAGAAAAATGTTCAAGCAAAAGGGAAGGACAGCTGAGATTTTAAAAACCTGAGCACCGAGCATTGACACTGCATGCAGCCTTGGACAGGCCCCGACCCCCAGTGTATGGTGAGGAGCTGACGTGTTTTCCGCCCGGAGCCTGCTTTGAGGACACAGTCTCTGACTTTGAGGACACCCGGGAAGCAAAAGCCACTTCTTTGATTAACAGTGCTAATATTCTTTTTTGTGACTACTTAAGAGTTTTTGTACTTTATAATATTATTAGATTTTTGTTATTATTTCTCAGTGTAGCACCTGTAAAGGATAGTGCCTCATGGTCAAAACATAATTAAAACATCGGAAAAACATATGAAAATCTTAGCATCTGAGTGTTTTTGTTTTGAAATACGTAGTAACTTTTGTTCTTTGAGGTTTAATGAAGTGTGGGTGGATAATTTTAAAAGATTTATATGCACTAGAATTGGAAAAAGCCCTTCTGTGTGGCTCTGATTCTATCTTAATGTTGCATCAGCTTGAAATGGACTCTGCTCAGCCGTTTGTGAACTTGGATGTTGGTTTCCTGCCCTTTCGTCCCTCAGTTTTCTTATGTGGGTGTTGAGGGACAGCCTGCTGTCTAGGGTTGCTTTGGGAGTTTAATGATTTAACATACACGAGCCACACTGAATAGGACCTGGCGCGTTACCCTAAGCACTTACACACAAACGCGTCCTGTTGTCCTTCTTACCGGCATTGGGTGGTCTTGTCTGTTTTTAAGACTAGGAAAGGAATCATTGTGCATTAGGCATATTAAAAGGCTAATTTTTATAGGCTATTTACATATTTCTCCTTTTTATGTTCCATGGCAGTATTGTTTAGACAACTGTAATAACTGTCTTTCTTTGATCGGCTGTATGTTTAATGGCTTGTACCGTAGACAGGCCACATGTTTAAAATAGAGATTTCTAGAGTAAGTTAATTTTAAGGGTGAGTCTTTAAAATCTAAACTGTAACAAGTGCATAAATATTTTTTAGGACATATTGTAATAAAGTAATCAAGTATGATATCTCTATAAAAGACAGTGAGTACGTTCTCTCCTCTCTGTCTCTGTCTCTGTCTCCCTCCCTCCCTCCTCTCTCTTTTGTGTTGTGTGTATATTGTTACTGGGGATTACACTCTGGGCCTTTACACTGAGCTGCATCCCAGACCCTTCTGCTTCCTTTTAGTTTTTGAGACAGGGTCCTGCTAAGTCTAGTGACCAGGCTGGGCTCCAACATGAGATTTCCTGCCTCAGCCCCAGAGTGCTGGGATTACAGGCATGCACCACTCTGCCTGGCTTCTTTCATAGGTCCATTAAAAAAACAAAACAGAATGTGTTTTCCTTATGTCACCTTCACCTGATACAATGTATCCAAACTTGTTTGGCATGAAAACCTTCAATTCAGACCCTTGTGATCATTAAGAAGACCGAATACATCTCAGACTATTAGTCTGTTCTATTTCTTTGCCTTTTCTCCTTATAGTTTGCCCAGAAATTATTTGTTCAATTTGCACTTTAACAGATGTAAATGTATTTCTAAAAAATTCCTTTTGGAAGTTTCTGCCTGTGTTGATGTCCCCACATCTGTCACCACCAATAGATCACTATGTGTTACTTTACAAAGGAAGCTAGCAGCTATTGCTGCTGTCCTCGGCCTGGTCAGTCTTAAGAAGTATTAAGAACTGAAAATCTGGCAAACACATTCTCAAGTTATCTGTGTGCCTTCTTGAAATGTATTATTTTTAGTTACTATGGTAATTTAGGGCTAGCCACTGATAATAATATAAAAATGAGACCTGATAGATATAAGATAGATATAAAACTCATTCTTATATCTAGTATAATAAAAATTATTAAATTGCTTAAAATTATTTTTAGAGAAAAGTTTGTACTGTGTTTAAGGAGGCAGTTAAAAAGGTCTAAGTGGTCAGTGTGGTAAGCGTTGCAGCTACTCCAAGTAGGTAAGTATTAAAAGTTAAAGCAAACTCAGCTGAGGACTCAGGCTCCAGGGTTTGCTCCCTGAGTGGATAACGCAGGCTCCTGCCACCTGCAGCATCCTGTTCCAGCGGCTTCCAGAGTGCCAGGGGGCCATGTGTGTTATTTATTCAAGGAGCCTAAGATGGAAAGAGGATCGGATAGGCACATAAAAGACAGAATTGTCAGGCAGAAATAATGTGTCGTAGGCTTTCCAAAGTGGAGCTTTAACTAAATATCAGAGGGCTGAAGAGAAAAGTATCCAGGCCCAAGGATGGGCAGTCTGCAGGTCAGCCCCGTTGAAGGAGTGGATGGGAAGGGCTCAGGGCTGCGTGCAGAGGTGAGAGCTGTGCTCAGGGCTCGGCGTGGCCCCATGGCACGGTGCTGGCCCGGCCTGTGCGAGGCCTTGGGTTCAGTACTGGGACTACAGAAAAGAGACACGTTGTGCTGTAGCAGTTATCATACCTCCTCATTATGCAGCCACGGTGTCTGGCACATCTGCCTGACACATTGGAAGAGCTGGATAAATGTCTGTGAAACAAATCCATCCATTGAGAGGCTGAATGGGATCGGGCTGGAGGCCGAGGGACCACGTAGATCTTGGACAGAGAGATGTGCTCCCGAGATTCGCCGTCCGTTGTGCACGCGGTGGCGTGGGAAGGGGACACAGCGGTGCGGGAGAGCGGCTGGAAGGCTGTGTCCGCAGCTGAGGAGGAAGCGGGAGAGAACTGTGGGCCGGGGGCCGTGGAGCGGGCCAAGGGTTGTGGAGGAGGCGTTCGAGGTCTCGCTCTGGCTTCGCGCTCAGGTGTGGAGGGTGAGGACTCCCGAGCCTTGGGGTTGGTACAGAGAAGACTGGCGGACGCGCACCCATCACCCCGTCACATTGCCGGGTCCCGCGGCCCCCCAGGACCCGGATGGTGGGTAGTGTCAGGAGGGTGACCCTTCGCTGGCGCGAGTGAGGGATGGCGAGGCGCTGAGGTGCTGCCTGGGGACAGACAGCGGCAGCTGGGGCTGCAGTGTGCAGCGGCCGTGGAAGGCGCCAGCCTGACGCGGGCAGCAGGCTTGGTGGCTGCAGAGAGCGGTGGGCCGAGCGGCGGCGGGAGGAGCCCTGCCCGGGATGCACAGGCTGCATCTGCGAGGCCAGGCCCGGCTCTGATTTGGGCACGGAGATGCCTGGGCAGTCGGCTCCCAGGGACAAGCTTGGGGCTTGTGCTGGATCCCCGAGGACCAGGCGAGCTGCGTGCACCCGCGTGGACCTGCGTGGAAGCGGGTGGGAGAGGGATTCGGAATTACAAAGGCCACGACTTCCATTTCCGGGCTGTCACACGCGAGGTGCCCATTGGACCTCCACGCTGGGGTGTTGTAGGGAACAGGGAAAGGGGACGTTACCAGAACCTCTGCAGTGAGTCCTGGTCTCCTGCGAGCCCTGGCAGCACACGGCGAATTACAGGAAAGGTAGAAAAATGAGACTGAGAAGAAGCTGAGCTTTGGGTCTGATCAGTGCTGCTCTGGGCGGCAAAGACGAAAGCTCCCAGCTTACCGCACCTTTTATTCAGTCCATCGGGAGAAACAGATGTAACATGACTTGCAGAGAGTTCAGTACATCCGCGTAAACAAGATGTAACAATCCAAGAACAATGAGGAACTGAGTAGATGTTTGTTCCTCCCAGGATGTTTCTTGTCCTGGAGAATCACAGCATCACTGGATCATTGAGGTCTCAGCTGTGAACGGAGGCCAAAATGCAATTATGTCTCGGAATTCCATAGCTGGGCTGTAGCAGGAGAACTAGGCTAACCAAATGATTTTTCCCTAAAATTGTGTAGCATTGCTCCCAACAGGGTGTTAGATGGGCGACTGTGGAGGACAGGAGGGCTGCAAACTTAGGGGCGAGAGGTGGCCTCTGAGCCGAGGGGCGGAGTCCCTGGGCAGGGGCCGCTCGAGAAGACGCTGGGAGGCGGCAGCGGAGCTCTGAGCGTGTGCGAGCCATGCGTTTAGGAAGCAGGCGCTTTCACTGATACGTGGTAACTTGTAGCTATTAATGTAATTTTTGTTATTTTTAGATGGTCTTTTAGTTTGAATTTTTAAACAGTTTTTGATGGGAGAAAGACCTTTTCTTTCTCTTAAACAGCTTATTGACCACTGTAAATTTTTTTCTAAATGTAGGTTTTTACTTCAGAATTTTTTTCACCAAAGTAGAACTATGGAGATAGACCAAGAAAAAGTGTGGGAAATAATGGGAAAAAGAACTTCAAACATCCCTGTAAACTTCTGCCTAGGCCGTTGGACCCCACTTGCTTATGTTGTTTGTTTCAACTTTCCTTCTCCTTTGCTTCACTCTTTGGGGTACATTCTGGGTTTGTATAATGCTCTATACACTGCAGTTTTCTCAGAAAATAATAGTTTTTGTATACGTGAAGGTTCATTGTCCTACGAGGTGTTCAGTTCTCATTTTAAAACCTTTGGAAAGTGGATCACTTTCTGTCCTTCTGAACGCTTCTGTGTTTTACAGAGCAGCACTGCTCCAAACGCTGAATAAATCTGTGCTTGTCAATTGCTTTACAGAGTTACAAGTTTTGTCCAGGAAAATTGCAGTTGATTGTGGACCAGTTGGATCCCCGGCAACCTAAAGAGGTGAGTGCTCAGCATGGTGCAGGCCCAGCCAGCTCTGCCTGTGGGTGGCCTATGTGCTCATGCAGGGCACGGATGCAGGGGTGGCTCTTTCTCCTGCCCTGGGCCTGCACTGTGGGGCACCCTAGGCCAGTAGCCCTGATCAGCTTGCTGGTCTTGAAACGAAAGGGCACAGAACAAGGAGACCGTCCTTAGAGAATTGCAATGCTTAGAAGAAAACAATTATTTTCCTAGCTTCTTTTTTAAAGGGGTGAAGCGTTTGTTCTCAAAACTGTTCTCCACTGTTGCTTTGTGTGCAATATTTTAGTGATCTCTTATGAAAAAATTCATTTAATGCTTTTCTATTTTTATAAAATGTGAACTACTTAAAATTTTTGATAAACAAAATTAAATACTTACATGTGACATGTTATGAAATGTGCATTGAATTGTATCTGTTTATATGTTAAGAGAATTTACTAATTACTGTAATAATGTTCTGTTTCATTTGAAAGTCAATTTGAAATAAAAATAAGGATCTTTGAATTTTTTATCTTAAGACTTTTAAAAGACTTGCCATTTTTTGTAAATTTTTGAGTTATTTTTCCTCAAACTTTTCATTTTAAGCTCATTCTCATTGAAATTTTCTGAAAAGTCAGAATCATTTTTTTCCTCTCAGAATTTTGCATTCTGTTTTATTCTTGGTTCGTAGTAAATAATGTTTGAAAAGATATTGGATCTGAGATTTGACTTTTATATGATAAAAATCCAATTGTCTTCAGTTTAAATGGATTACTTAGAAATTTGTTCTTGTTCAGCACTCTGTATTCCGCTTCCATAAGTACTAAATTCTTAATGGGATTTTGCCCTAATAATTAACTGAAAAGGAGAGATTGCTTAAATTGAAAATTAATTCCTAATTTCTGACACCTCTCATATCCCCAGTGCCTGTCACAAGTAGAGGTGATGAGCCTGTCTTTCAGGTGACTGCGAGACATTGTCAAGCACGTCTGCCTCTGTCTTTGTCACCTAAAGAGGCAGATGTCTGCTGGCCGGCCGAGGTCTTGGTGCTGGCTCTGAGCCGCCTTTCATTCAGAGGCTGCAGGTGGGCGGTGCCTGGGTCTGAGCACCGGGCGGGACCCTGTGTTGCCCCTGCTCGAGGGCACATGCAGCCTGGTGCCATCCATCCGTGGAGTGGATCTGTTCCCCATGGTTTTCAGTGATCCTGATTGGAGCCGATGGAGAAGTAAACTGGCTGTGAAAATTCAATTCTGCATTCCACTGCGGAGTGACTTATTTTTCTACCTCAGTAGTTAGAAGGTTGGAAAATAATGGGCTGGCAGGAAAGACAGTTGGCGCTCACCGTTTTGCGAACCCTTGGTTCGTGCTGACGGCCGTCCCCAGCACGCTAGGCAGTGCTCCAGGCTTGCGGCCCTGGCCCTGGCCCTGGCCCTGTGGGTGCCTGTCGGTGCCCGCCGATATGGGGAATCTGCTGCCCTGCTCGGGCTCATTCTGCCCCCGAGGTCCCGTCTGATTCCTGTAAGATGTAGCAATTCAGTGTTCAGGCTTTGTTTACCTGATGCACAGAACTGGTTTTCCCCTGCTTAGCACTCGGTTTGAAAAATCAGTTCTCCTGTGTTATCTATGAAAGGACATCAGATTCTCATAAATGGCACTAAAGTTATCCACACCCTGACTTTCAGTACCTTGTTAAATTCTGTTTTGGAGAATTGGAATTATTCCAGTCGCTGAGTGTTAATGCACATCTTTTAAAAACTCCAGGTGAGACACGAAGCCTTGCAGATGCTGTGCTCCGCTCCTCCCTCGGACATCCTGGGCTGTGAGAACGGGGCCTCCCTCTGCCAGAGGCTGACGGCGGCGCTGTCCGACCCGGACCCCGTGCTCAGTGTAAGGACCCGGCTGTGGAAACGTACAGTCGCGTCTCTCCACCATTCTGCAGCTGCAGTAGATTTCTCTAATGGAGGCGCACATAGTTATGGAATTTCAGCTTCAGCTCTGCATTGTCAGAAGTCTCCTTTTCAGAAATTCCTGTTTATGGTCAGATTTGAAGTGCGGCTGCGAACATACTACTTTGTTAAGTAACAGACGGTTGTTACCTTGTGGATTATGTTTTATGTGAAGGGACATCCAGGTACTTTGTGGGTTTTTTTTTTCCAGTTACCTTTAAATTTATTTAAACTAAGAGGAAAAGGTCATAATGTTTTCGTGCAATACATACTTGGTTCTTTAAATAACAACTGTGACAAACAGCAGAAAGAATAAAGGACTGCTACACTTGTGATCCATACAAAACACCAACATTTTGGGTTGTACGTAATTAAAGAAATACCTCACTTTCAAAATGCTGTAATAGCCCATACACAGAGGCCTGCCTTAGGTGGGCATAGGAATGCAGTTTACAAAAGAAAAAAAATCACACCGGAACTATACAATTTCTTTAAAATCACTGAGCAAGAAAAGCAACATTGAACTTTCATACTGATTTTACACAACTTCTATACAGTTCCTTCACTTAAATCCAAGAGCAAAAGTTAAGACTCTCCTCTATTTTTGGTAAACAACTGTATGGTAAACTTCGATGACTTTTCCCCCTGGATTTTACCTGGGAGTGGCCTGTTTTATATTTTATTTAAAAGAGGGCAGGTTTGGCACTTTTATACTGATGTCACCAATGTTAATATTCCTTGGGATCTCGGGAAGATTCATATTCTTTACAGCTGATACAGCACGGACTAGAGCTCCTGCTAAGCCAGCCTCAGATTTCTCCAGTTTATTTTGTGCATCAATTTTGTGTAGCAATTTCATTCATGTTGCTCCCCAATACCATCCCCCCATCACCATTTCCATGAGAATATTGTGAACCCTGTCCAAATGGAAAATTAAATCCAGTTCACAGACATTTTCAAAACATTCGTCTAATGTTTCCATGAACACTTGAAATAAATCTAAAATGCCAAGTTCACTTTCTGAAGAATCCACACAGAAGACAAAATATAGTGTTGCATAATGTCTATAAATCAGTTTGTTGTCAGATCCTCCAATTAATAATCTCCTTCTAGGAAATGACATTTTCATCTCTCAGCTATCAAATGAAAGTCTTCCTGATGATTTGTTGTTGTGCATCTTCACTGTAGGGCTGGTAGAACTTGGAGAGCCGCGGCTTGCCATGTTTGCTGAAGCTGAGGATCGCCTTGATCATGGCTGGCCCGGCCGATCTGGTGGGCGCTGGGGCGGGGCGGGGGCGGTCATGCGAGGCTCGCCTGGGGATCTCATGCCCGCCCCCCTAGCTTCCCTTTGTGGTTTTTTTTTTTGGTACCGCGGATCGAACTCTGGACCTTGGGCTTTGAGGCAGGCAGCGGCACCACTGAGCTAAATGCCTGGCTGTGTTGTTATTTTTGAAATGAGATGCATATGTTCAAAGAGTTTATAGTATGTGAAAACTGAAATTTAAAAATTAGAAATCATTAGCATTTAAGTGTTTATTTAGAGATTAACTGCTAAGAAAGGAAAGCTAGAAAATGGCAAAGCAAAGAGATTATAAAATGAGATGAGTAGCATTGAAAAAAATCCCTAAAACTGTAAAATTGCAGGCAGTAGATGTGACTGCTTTATGGAAAGGTTGGTGGGCACGCAACTTTTCAAGGGCAGCTCTTCTATGACTGAGGTGAGTTTATACCAGCAGAGCCCCGATTCTGTGGAGAATCCGTGAGGTGAATAAACAAAGTCCTGGCTACTCTGGTGTGTTGGTGAAGACAACTTGGGCTTTAAAACCGAAGTGGTGTTTTGTACAGAGCTGGAGATACCGGCGGAAGAGTTGCGTTTGTTTCTGTTCCGCGTATCCGTGGGACATCTTCAGTGTGCGTGTTGTTCTTTCTTTGAGGCTGGAACAGCCCCAGAGTGGGACAGAAAAGGAGCTCACAGAGCTCACCCTGCAGTGCAGGCCACGGACAGCAAGCGGGGGGTTAGGGAGACCAAGGCGTCAGTCTACCCTCAGCCTCAGCGAGGATGTGATCTGCTGAAGACAGAGGGCTGGGGGCCACTTCCCTCGTCCCTAGCAGAGGACAGCATTTACCTAACGCTCTGATGCAGTGCAGACTTCCCAACACCAGAGGGTGCTACAGACTTCTGCAAAAACCCATGCAGGCACTTCCAGGGAGAAAGACCTTCAGGGTCCCTTTTACTGTTCAGAGCTCTCTCAAAACAGATAACAGTCCTGATTTCCCCTGTGTTGTTTCCCTTGCCTAAGGAAGAGTTGCAGCAGAATAGATTTCCCTTACTTTAGTAATTGTGCAATAAGTGTACCTGTTGCACTTTCTACTGGCTTAGTGTAAGTTGCTTTAGTTAGCCATTAAGATTACGATGCAGCCGGATCAGTTTCCATACTTAATAAATTGGGAGCAATTGTTATAAAGGAGAAATGGTAATAAAGTCAGTCATTTTGCGGTAGAAAATAAAACGTGGCATCCTTTTCATTTTACATTTTTGCTTCACTCCTGTTACTGATTTTGATTCTCTTTCTTGATCGCCTGCCCTGAGAACTCTCGTGTGTACCTGAGTGAAGCTTTCAGTGGTCGAGGGTCGTGACAAATACTTCTCAACTGCTGCCACGGTAGAGATGGATCTCCCAACGTGTTTAGTATATGTGCTGCCAAAGCAAGCGCCTCCCAATGTGTTTAACCAGCTGTGTGCAGCAGGAACTTCTTGGGTTATTAGAAGTCTCTGGTCATGTGGGGGAGTATTTCTTGTAAGCCTATGATGTGAGCAAGGTTATTAATTTTTCCCCTAGGTTAGAAAATTGAGGCAACTTTATTTTTATTTACTGAAAAGTTGGATTTCAGTTTTAGGATTAATCTCACTATGATATTTACATTTATAGAATTAAAATTCATATGATTATATAACAGCATCATTCTTAAGTACCTGCTAGTGCCAGGCTTTGTTCTAACTACATCTGTTTTTCATTCAATTAATTTACCTTGTGATACTTTCTACCTTGAGTTTTAATAGTGTTAAAAATATAGTATCTTTCTTGGGGATAGAAACAATTATTAGAAAAAATCTTAAATGTCTAATTACTGAAACTACTCATGTAAACAACTGAAAAACCAATCTTGGATTTAGAATCCAGTCAGCTTGGTGTGGTGGCGCATGCCTGTGATCCCAGCCCTCTGGGTGACTTAGCTAGTTCCTGTCTCAGAAAAACAAAACCAAGAAACGGGCTGGGAATTTAGCTCAGGGTAAAGGTACTAGTTCTGATTCCCATTCCCCCCGCCCCCCCCCATGAAATACGTGTTCCTAAACTTTGTCGTTGCCTGTTCTGTCATTAGCTAACTGAGGCCTTCACTGTCCTCGCTCCCTCTGACCTCTCTCGTGCCGCTCCGCCTTCCTGTCAGTACCTGTCATGAGCAGATTTTGCAATATATTTTGGTGTTGTATTTGATTTGCTCTTTTGCTGCCTAATGCAAGAATGTGATGTTTTATCAGTACATTCCTATTTAGTTTTCAGGGCGGTTTGTGTTTATGGTTTGAGGTTTTAGTATGTAAAGAAACTGCATCTGTCTGGCTGGAACTTTAGAGGTGCATATTCTGTCTCCTTTCCCTAGGACCGGATTTTGAAGTTCTATGCGCAGGCGTTCATACTTCTGCCGTTACACATGACCAATGAGATTTACACAAGCTTAGGTGGGCTTACTATGTCACTACATTTTTCTCTTCTATGTGTACTTTAGGAAAATGCATATGAAATACATTTTTTTCAGAAAGCACTATAAATGAATAATGTACCAGTTGTTACTTTTCTTTTTCAGCAAAATATTTGGAGCTGTACTTTCTTTCTAGAGAAAGTCATATTCCTACTCTTTCAGCGGGTGTAGATGTCAACAACCCTGACGTGACCCGCTTACTTAAAAAGGTATTTGTTCACTAGAATCAGCTTCTCTTTTAAGTCATTCTGTACTTCGTGGTCTGTTTGTGACAGCATTGTACCCTGTCCTGTAGGTCCGTCTTCTGAGTGAGTATCAGAAAGAGGCGCCGTCTTTCTGGATCCGTCACCCAGAGAAGTAAGTCTGTCCCCAGGCCGCTTGGGTGGATGCAAGGCTGCAGTGCTGCCCCTCAGGTTCAGGGAGAGAGAGGCCCAGACAGCCTCGACTGGTGGCAGGGTGGGAGAGGGGTTGGTGACGCCCATCTTGCTTTCCAAAGCTTGTTTGGTCGGGTGCTAAGCTTGTGAAGGGATCTGTACAAGCACCTCGTATCACTGCTAACCGTGAAAGCAGGATTGTGCAGTTTCAGGTTGTTAATTAATCTCTGCTACTTTAGACAAAGTCTGTAAAATGTTCTTTAAACGTGTTCATTTAATGCTCAAATTTCTAATAAGGTCATAAGAGCATCAGTGAGTCAGAAACGGAAAGTTACATTTGGCGAGCTGTTGCTGAAGTAGTTAGGACTGTAGATTTTTAGCTGAGCATGGTGGCCCATGCCTGTAGTCCCAGCACTCAGGAGGCTGAGGCAGGAGGATTGCCCTGAGCTCCAGGCCAGCCGTAGTGAAAACCTTTCTCAAAAAACCAAAAAAAAATTTTTTTTAAAGTAGAAAAATTGAGTGTGAATTCTATCTCTGCCATTTCCTGAAATAAAAAGTTTCTAAAGAGTATATTCTACTTTGTCATTCTATAAAGTGTATCACTACTGTTACAACTGTATACTATATTAATAGTGAAATGAATCACTGATATATAATATGATAATTGTACATAAGCATATAGTATAGGACCCAATGTATGATGGCCTTTGTTCTGCTCTAAAGGTCGCGCCTCTTTCCCCACGTTAGGTATATGGAGGAAATTGTGGAGAGCACTTTGTCCTTGCTGTCAGCTGAGCACGCTCCAGGCCCTCTTCTCTCACCGAAGATTTTAGATCCGATCTGCTTTTTTGCACTAGTTGACACTAAGGCTGTGTGGTTCAAAAAGTGGACGGTAAGGAAGCGGGGAGACTTGCGCTGTCATTTTAAACAGGAGCGGTGTTGCCTGGCCGCGCACTGCGGCTTCTGGTCACTTTCTCGCATTTCACCGTAAGAGCCTTGCATGCGGCAGGTGGTGTGGCCCCCTCTGGGCCGCGAGGGATGGGGACTTAGCCGTCCAGACTGTTGACAGAAAGTGGTAGAGGCACACGGCTGTGCGGTGGGCACGCATTTCAGTCCGGCCAGGACGAAGGGCCTGTTCACATCTGACTTTCTTTAGCGTGAAGGCTCCAGCTGCCCTAGGCAGGCGCGGTGGTGGGCGCTCAGCGCTGGCGCTTGCAGGGCTGAGGAGGGACGTCCTCGGGTGTGGCTGCACTCCCCCAGTGAGCCTGCAGTTCAGGCGTGGCTGGCATCTGACGGCGCGCTCAGCCCTCCGCACCGAGAGGCCCCAGGCACTGTCTCTGTCTCCTGCCCACCCGGGGCTCGGCTCGGGTGGCAGAAGAGAGCAGAGCCGTGACCGGCAGCCAGCGGTTGCTCAGTGCGGTTGACTGTTACTCCCTGATAGCCCTTTCTTTCTTTGCCTTTTCTGATCTGACCCTGATGATCAGTGCCCACCTCTCGGAACGTGATGCTGCCTCCAGTAGGGAGCCCGTGGCTGCAAAGCAGTGGTGGGTGAGCCTGGGCTCCATCCGCTCACGGGGACCTTGGTCCCACCCGACACGTCTCTTGGTCTTTCCGTGATTGTGAAAGTGCAGCACCTTTACTGAAGAAAATAGGCAAAAAATGTAAAAGCTGTTTTTTATAGTTTTGCAATGCAGAGATACCAGGGTTTTGGCTTATTTAGGCATTTGCATTTTTTACATTATAAATGCATATTTTGCATATCTTAAGAACTGAATTTTTTTTACTGAACACTTTTGACTGCCAGTTCTTATTTCTTAAGAGAATGAGGCAGGCCACAAGAAAACGAAACAAGAGGAAATTAGTGAGATTGGGTGAAAATGTTTCCTAGTCGTACCGAAAACTGACTGCCTCCTCCTATAAGCCTTCCATCTAAGGGAGAGGTGGCAGACTTCGTATGTAAAGGGTAAATGGTTCTGGCTTTGCGGGCTGTGTGGTCCTTGTTGCAAGCTTTCAGCCCTACTTTATAGCTTCAAAGTATCTAAGAAAGGATGTGAACGAATCACCTGACTGTGTTGCAATTAGGCTTTATTTGCGGTGGTTTTATTTGGCCTGCTATAGTTGCTGACTCTGGTCTGAAGGAAGCTTCCCCTAGGGAACATGATGAGTATTAAAGGTAATTTAAGCATACATCAGCATATTTCTCTTATTAACCCTGAAAAGAAGGATTCATGGTTTTTAAAAATACTCTAAGCCACTGGGTTAAAACATAGGGTTCTGATTGACCTTCAGTTGATTGTAATACTATTTACTGAATTAAAAACTATTCCCTAGAATTGTGATAGGTTTTGCTATCTAGTATTGAATGTTAAACAGTTTAGGGTTTTACTGTTTTTAAGTAACATGAATAAACCACATTTGGAATGCTAATGCCGCCAGATATAGTTTAGCTAAGAGGTATTTGTAGTTTTCCTGGCCTTGTGTGGTGCTGTGTACACACGAGTGTCTCAGCGCGAGCGTGCAAAGAGGAAGCTTCTTCACCACTCCCAGTCGTTTGAAATGTGGTTGGCGGGAGGCGGTTAGGACATCGTCTCTGGACGTTTCCCCCTTGGCCAATTTGTGTACATGTAGACGACAAGTCTCCAGTGTAAGATTTGTGACTTTTCTCTTTCTACTTTTCTGTCTTCTCCTTGGATCCTGCCATACCCCTGTGGTCAGGCTGGGCCTGTTCTGGGTTTCGTAGTGGTGGTTCAGCTCGGGACTGGCCTTACCTGACAGGTAGAATGTCTTATGCTGGTCTGCCACCGAATGAAGCCAGGGTTTGGTGCGTCATTTGCATTCTTGTGATTGCTGCCCTGTGAATGCAATGCACGTAGAAAAATCTACTTGGCACTGATTGTAATAATTTAAACCTAAGTTATTATGTCATTTAGGATATTATTGGCAAAGATGCAGGAAAAGGTTTTGAATGGCATAACTTGAATATTAAATATCATTTTTCCTTAATTTTAGCATGCATATTATAGCAGAACTACAGTACTCAAACTTCTTGAAAAGAAATATAAGTCTCTGGTAAGTTTGTACCTCTGCCTTTATGTTGAGAAATTGGATCAAAGAAAGATATACGATGCACTGGCTGGAATATGCGAAGTTGAGTGGTGATGATTAATACTGACTAATGAAGTAGTTCCCCTTTCATGTGACCTCAAAATACCATCCTAGGAAAGTTACAAGGGTGAAAGTAGAAACTTAAAATGCAATCAGGGTAGCAGGAAATGTGTGAGTACAGAGTAAATTGGGCTGCTATAAATAACAAGTTAGCTTGAGGGAAACTGTATTTTAAAGTATTACCATGTAATGTGATTCAGATCAGGCATTAATACGGGAATTACTTTTGTAAATATACCCATACATTTGAGTGGAAGTTTCATGAAAAACTCAGAGTGATAAATACTTTTGTATTGGCAAAAATTTGGTTTGAGTTATGCCAAGTGTAGACCAATAATATAAACTGTATCATCCACATTATCTACCTTTATTCTGTTAGTAGAACAATGTGTGTGGGCACTTTTCAGCCAATTAATAATTGACGAACATGAGCAAATGAAGTTTATTAGGATATTTAATAACATATAAATTTGGATCACTAAGGACGGCTTATGTGGTTAGGTAGGACCCTGAGTTTCGAGGTCAGTGAATGAAAGGTTCCCAGCACCATGAATTTGTGGTTGAGAGTTACGTAGAGCATAAAATGAAAGAGGACAATGATTATTTTGTGTTTGATAGTTGAGAATTGAGCAGCAGCAGAAGGCAGGGATACTGAACAGTAGGGTGGGACTTTACTGGTAGAGGTAAAAGGTGCTTAAACTTTTTTAGCAAAATGAATTGAAGCATAGCCTTTCAAGATCTCAGGTCTCCTCCATTCCCATTGGAATGGAAAGTTGCCGGTGGCCTGTGGTTCAGACCGCTCCTGCCGGCAGGGAGGAGGGGAGCTCGAGCAGGGTGACATCGCCGAGGCTTCTGCACAGATCTGCTGACTGCCGCTGTCTCGGGGGCCCAGAGGAAGTAGGCAGCACGTGTGGGTTCTCCCCACGACTCGTCAGCCCTGTTTCTCGCTTGGGACACTTGCTCTGCCGGTAGATTTGGGGCTGCAGGTCGAATTACTCCATTGAACCCTTCCCAGTATTCTATCAGCATTTCAGGTATGTTGTGGGTCAGACCTCCTTGAGACTGTGTGAAGCCTCATTTCTCTAGGAAGCTTTCCTAAATTAATAAAACACCAGAGTGATTCATGCTGTTATTTTTCAAATTAAATTTTGTTCTGTTTTTGAAATGAAACCCTGAGGAAAACGGTTCCAAGATCCAGTTCTCTGTTTTGCTTGGAGAACTGGGAGCAGACCGAGCGCCTGCAGCAGACCCCGGGTCCGGCCGTGGGTCTGCATGTCTGTCCTGAGCCCCTCGCAGCTGTGGCAGTGTGTCCTTCCTCAGCGCCTCTTCCGAGTTCTTGGCATCTCTTCAGCAGTAGGCCTCCGTGCTTGCTGCGGTCTAGCCGCTGGCTGTGCACACAATTACTAGCATTACTAGCAACTTGAACTGGGACTCGGATAACGGAAGAAGTAATTCTGAGTTTCATTTATTCCCAGACTCCCCGAAACAGACCTCTCCAAGGTTACCAACAGTCACCAGTTCTCATGCTCGGTGGCTTCTGTTTTGTCTGGAAACCAGAGTTAGAGGCCCTGTGGGAAGTAGGCAGGCGCGGAGCAGGGGACAGGGAGGGGAGCACTGCACAGGGTGCAGTCACAGTTCCTTGTCCATCCTGACTCTGCTCTTTGAACTTTGATGTTTTCCTTTATCCATTTTCTGAAATTCTGGTAGTCGAGGTGAACCGAAGGCTGATTCAAGTGAGGAAGGAAGAAAGGATTCCAAAGCAAGGGAATTAGGCAGCAGAGTTTTAAAAATCGTGGTCACTGAGTTTTTACATCTTTCACTAAGATACCAAATAATCTGTTTCTGTCTTTTCTGTACTGGAGATTGTACCCCGAGCCTTTGCATTGAGCTGCACCCCCAGGCCTTCCGTTATTTTTTCTTTTGAGACAGAGCCTCACTAAGCTGGGCTAGAACTGGCAGTCTTCCTGTCTCAGCCTTCTGGAGTACTGGGGTTACAGGCGTGGGCCTCCACCCCAGATAAGCGACCTGTGTGTTTCTGCCCACTGGTGATGGTGCTGTGCCACTGTTACACTCACTGGCGCCTGGTGTTTTCCGCAGTGCTCCCCAAGCCTGCTGCAGTGACATTGGGGCTGGTGAGGCTAAGCTTCAGGGTCTTGAAAGGCACATTTTGAACATTTCCCTTTATTATTTTTACTGCCTTAACTATTTAAAAAAATTCTTGCACTAATAGGTTGCAAATTTCTGGAAAATTACTGTTTTATCAGATAATAGCAGCAGTCCAGCAGTGTATTCAGTACTTGGAATTGTGTGAGACCAGCAAAGCGGATTTAATTTTGGGACATTCAAAGCACTGTGGTAAGTACTATTTTCTTTGTTGCATGCTTTTAAAAGCGGTTAATTTTATTAATAAAAATAGCTTAGAAGTTGTCTATTTATTTTGAGTTTTTGAGACAGGCTCTAGGCTGGCCTTGAGCTCGGCGTGTACCGGCTCTGGCCGTTGCCTCAGCCGCTGGAGAGCTGGGATTACAGGCGCGTACCACCACGCCTGGCAGAAGTTCCCTACTTTTTCCTAGTTAGCAGAATGGTAGATCAGATCACTTTTGTCAGCGATGCAAAATACTTTTCACAGGCTGAAGAGGCCCCGCAGGCAGCTCCGTGCCCCGCCTGCGGAGGACACCGGTGGGTGAGGAGCTTCGCTGGGGCCCGCCCTGCCCCTGCCCGGCCTCCTTCCGCTCCGCTTCCCTGGGGCCCTCCGTGGGCTGGTGCTGCGGCGCCCACTGGCCGTCGTGTCTCGCGAGCCGCTGTGCCCTGGGTGCTCCCCAGTCGGAGCCGAGAGGCCCCGAGCCTCACATCTGCCTGTGGCCCCGACGAGCGTGGTTTTCTCTCACCGCCTACGGCCGCACTGCCCACCCACAGCTCCTGACGCTGTGCATCCATCCCTGCTTACTGAAAGAGCAAAGCTGCGCCTTCTTTTTCTTCCTCTTTTTCTTCTCACAACTTGGGAACCTGATTCTTTCCTGGTTCTGTTTTGTTTTGTTTTTGGTACTGGGGATCGAACTCGGGACCTTGCGCTTACGAGGCAGGCGGTGGCGCCACTGAGCTAAGTCCCCGGCCCCTGTGACTTTTATATTATTTCCACGCAAGTTATTTTGAAAGTGTGACGATACCTTATAAAGTAGTTCATCCCCCAGTAAATCCCGTAACTCAAAGGAAAGGAAGTGGTCAAAGGCCAATAAAGAAAGTTTCAAAGCCGGTGTTTGTGGTGAGGAAGAGGCAGAGAATTGGAATTTATCCTCAGGAGACAAGGACGTGCGGGTCTGTGTGAGGTCTTGCTTCTGGACTCACAGTTTGTGAACGCCCTGGTGCGCGGAGTCCTAGGGACCCGACCTCCCTCCCGATCTCCGGACCCCCGACCTCCCGACCCCCCGACCGCTTGATCTCTAGACCCCTGACCACCGGACCTCTCGACCTCCCGACCCCCAACCACCCGACCTCCCTCTCAACTCCCGACCACGCCGCCGCCGTGGCCCAGGTTAGCTCAGCTCGGTCCTCTCTTCTGGCGGGCAGGAGCTCGTGGCCTGGATCGGAAGTGCAGACGAGGACCTCTAACCCAGACGCTCCCTGGCTTGCACTGGCTCCTGGGGATGCTCGTTCTTCGCTGTGCCCTGACAGCTCTCCCAGGCCGCTCTCTCCCCCGGCTCCCTGCCTGTTCCCGCCCTCTGCTCTCCAGGAAGAGCCCCGCGTCTTCTTTCACCAGGGAAATGGAAGTTTCCCCATGTGCAGCCCCACGCGTCCCGCGCTGTGCACACGTGCGTGTCTGCACGCCTCTGCGCGCGCTGTGCTCCGCCTGTCTGCCTGGTCTGCTGCCTTCCGTGCTGCGAGCAAGGTCGTTTCTTCGCCATTCTGCCTCCCTGTCCAGTGGTGCCTGATCCTGCGTCCTCTGGGTGGCGCTCTGCTGCTAGGTGCCCCAGCCCTGCCTCCATGGAGGGAGGAGCTGCCAGACACCGAGTCCCAGGCCCGGCTCTCTACCGCCTGCTGACTTCCGGCCATGGGAGCGCGGCTTGTCCTGCTGCTCTCGGACCTTCCCCTCACAGCTTCCACCCTTTCCTGTCTGCAGCCCAAGGTTCCCTCCTCCTCCTGTGCGCGGATTGTTCATTCTCTTCTAATGAGCGCTGTCCCCTCTCCCCTCCTGAGTGTGAGCTCTTTGCTCTTCTGCTCTCGGTGCTGTGAGGGCCTGGTCTTGGTCCTGGTCCCAAGTACTGTATGTGTTTCCTTGTAAATGGTGACTGAATTGTTCGAATGCACTTCCTCTCCTGAGTTCAGACCCACACACTTGTGTCCTGCTTAGTGTTGTTATCCAGAGGTAGCATGAGCTCTTCAGAAGTAACAGTATGGAGGGCTGGAATCACTGCTTCCTCTCTTTGTAGACCTTAAGTCTTCATCAGAATGGCTTCAGTAGGAGTCTCCCCGTTCTGAGACACTGACTTGGGAATTCAGTCTTTTATCTTCTCGCTCTCCACGTGCAATTTTAAGACACGTGAATTTCATTTTTTCAAATCTGTCTCCCATTTTAAATTCGTTTTGCTAATGCTTTTATTCATAATTTTCTTAATGGGATTTCTTGTTCAGTTCAAGGTCTATCTAGGGCCTGCTGTATCTAAGATCTTGACTGCGGGATAGGAGAATACAGAGGAAGATGTCCATGTTGGAGAATGCTAACGTGGGTGGAGATGTAATCTCTTACAGTACAGACTCAGTACCCCTTATCTGCAGTGCTTGGGATCTCCAGTGTTTCAGATTTCAGAGTTTTGGGGGTCATGGATTATTTGCATAGATTTACCTGTGTGGGCTTTTAACTGGAAACATCAAGCAGTGACATTTGTTGAGACTCCCTTCCACTCTTCACTTCTGAAGCCCCTCGCTGTTGGGAGATGGTAACTGGTGATCTTAGGTGTTTGAGAATGAACACTGGACACACAATATACCTTTCTGACTGTCACCAATGTTACAATGGCTGCTTTTCCTCAGATGTAGTGTAAGGGATCTTAGGAGACAATGAAGAAAATGAATAACTTAAAACAGTTTACACCAGCACTGCCTCCATCATGGGCCACAACCCCGTTTGAGGCCCAGAAGGCCATGGAGGCAGCTGCTGTGAAATACAACACTTATCAGTGTTCTTGTTTGCTTTTTCTGAAGGGGACAAACAGAAAACGCTCTACTACTCAGGACAAGAAGTACAATATATTTATTTCATTCACTCACTGTGCCTTTTGGGAAGATTACTGATCTATACACAAGGCAGAAAACTATTTCCTATAAAGCTGAAGAATAGACACGGTGAGTGCAAGCCCGGAAATGAATGTGGTGAGATGAGGTGAGAGTCGTGTGCTGTGGATTCCTCACCCTCGGAGGCTGGGCACGGTCTCTTCTGGGGTACATGGCTGCGTGTGGTTTCGCTTTACAAAGGATTGTCTTTTTTTTTAAATCATTGATCACAATTTAGTTAAAAGTCCTGAAAAGCCAGCAATAGTTAGGCTGGACACATACTTGATTGGAGCTGTGTTTCATGGGGTGGAGAGCGGCACTGAGTCACACACCGAGAGCCACAGGGCCTTTTCCGCCTTCCTGGAAAAGTGTTTGCCAGATAGGGCAGAGGATGGGCAGCTGCTGAACACTGACACGAGCCTCAAAGAACAACAGATAGGGAACGGGTGTGCAGTAAACCTCATTGCTGACTCTTGGGCTGAGGCAAGGAGGAAAATGATCACGGAACATCATGATTGAGAGATGTTCAGCTAAGAACTTTTAAAAATTAATGAAATCGGGCTAGGGATTTAGCTCAGTGGTTCTGCTGTCTACCTTGCAAGAACAAGGACCCGAGTTCGATCCCCGGTACCAAAAAAATAAATAAATAAAATAAAAAATAAAAATAAAAATTAATGAAATCACTACAAAATGAGCTTCTTACTGTCCCATAGCGGGCAGCATACTGCAGAGGCAGCATTCTCCCCATAAGTTTTAAGGTGAGGCATGCTGGTCTGCTGCTGCCCTCCTGCTCCACACAAGGGAGACGGAGAAGGGCGCCTAACGTCTTCCTCTGAAGCTCCGGATTAGAGAAGTGGCCAACAAACCACACCTGGTTCACACCGCAGCATAAACAGCTGAGCAGAAGATCACCATTCACTTTCCACTGCCATTGGGCTAACTCTGCGGGGCCCGTGGAGTAGGACGTAAGTGACCTGCCGGTCTCCACCGCCAGAAAGCCCAGGGTGTCTTCTGGTGTGACCATGCCAGCCTTCTCGTCTTCAGACTTGGTCTGCTTATCGTGTTTGCTTTCACCACGGTGCATCGTGACCAGAAGGACTCGACCTTCGCTGGGGCATTAGCACTGCTCGTAGGTCACAGTACCCACAGGTACTGGGGTTGGTATCATCAGCAGATGGAAAGGTTCGTGTTTAACTTCTTTCTGGGCACTACTCTTCTTGTCACTTGTATTTGGCTGCTGATTCACTTTTTATAATCTTCTGTATCCTTGAATTTTGATGGAGAAGAGACCATTTTCTCTTGAAGTTCAGGTGTACAAAGTTCGTACACATCTAACATAAGGGGAAATTTAACATCAGATGTGATGTACAAAGGATTTCTCTGCAACGTCAGAGACTGGTGATTTCTTCCTGAAGCTGCAATTTAAGTCCTGTACGAAGATACTTGACTTTCTGATTTCTAAAACAGCGAAGTTGAAGCTGATTTTCCTTTCCTTCGGTGATTTCTTCTTCTTCAGATTCTGTATGTTTCATGGTAGTTTCAAACTCAACATCAGCAGCGAAGAACCGATCCGCTGAAGTTTTCTTTTTGGTAGGTGTCACTGCTGACGCAGATGAAGAGTCTGTCTCTCGAATAGAATCGTCCTCCGTGGCTTCCAGTTTCGGTGACAGACTCGCGTCATGTGCATCCAGCATTCACTGGCATCCTGCTGAAGATGCTGTTCTCATTCACCTTTCTCTGCAAACTGGGAGGGCCGTGTGTAAAAGCTGCAGTAGAATAGTAGGGGGAACGCTGGAAGTTTTGTCCCTGGGCTCAGATCTCCAAGGGCGGGGGTCGTAAGGTGTGCTGCGCACTGCTGTGAAAGCCTCTCCAAGTTCAGGCCCAGGAGTCACTGCACTGAAGCATTCACATAGCAGGCATCACCGAGGTGTGTCAGGCCACACGCCAACTCCATGAGGAGCCAACTGTTCCTCTGCCACGTCTTCTGGAAGGGCCTCTGCTGACCACGATTGTGGAGTTGCCCGTTTTTATTTTGATGTCCCCTGTCATCCTCCTGCAGTGCCCTCCTTTCACCGTGCTTTCTGCCTGGCCGGGCTGAACTCCCGTCAGCACACAGCTGAGCCTTGAGCACTGCAGGAGGGTCATCGCGTTCAGTTCCACACCTGCACACTTCTCCTTCCCGTGTACACCAACACACACCCGGGTCCCTCCGCCTGCCCTATCCCCCTTCCCCGCTCTGCGCCTTCAGCCGGTCCGCCCTGGTGTTGGTGTCGGGGACACCAGTACAGTGCCGCATCGGGGCCAGCGCTGGGGGCTGGGCCTGGGGAGTCAGCGAGCGGACAGGGACCAGAGAGCGTGTGGCGGCGCCACTGATCAGGTGCCGCGGGCTCGTTCCTGCGAAGGAGAGTTTCTTAGTGTTCAGCGTGAACCTCTTTCTACACGTGCGGTTTTCTGTTCTCCTAGCACTTACTGCTTTTCTTGTTTCTCTCTTCCTGTCAGAATGCTAGACACACTTGATGACCAGTTCTGGTAGAAAGCTAGACAATCTCGTTTAAGTTGTGGCCCTTGTAAATTATCTGTGATCTGTTTGGCTCATCACTCCCTTGTTTTCATTCTTAATCTGTAAAGGAGAATAATGGTGTCAGTGATGTTGGACATAGAGAATTTTGCGATCACAGAGAATATTGCTCATAAATAGCACAGCCTTTATCATTTGATATATTGCCACTTTAGTTTCACAGTCTCATTTAATTTTTACCAAATGTCAACATGTGTTGTTAGTTACTCATACTTATTTCCCTTAAAACTTGAATGCACGCTGGGAATACAGGATAGAGTAGTTCAGAGTTGGCAGTTTTCTTCTGTGAAGTACCCGACAGTAATTATTTTGAGTGTGGAGAGCCATACACTGTCTCTGTCACATGTCCTGTGAGTGGATGCATGGGTTTGCAGCGCAGTGCTAACATAGCAGGCCTGCGCATGCCGTCCTTAGAAAGCCGCCTGCAGGGCTGGCCTGTGGCTGGCACCCGGGAGCTCAGCGTCCTGTCCTTCTCCCAGGGCTGATGCGGTGCTGAGCAATTCGCACCTGTACTACCTGCAGTGTGGTTTCTGCCTGATGCCTGCTGTCCTGGGGAGGTTAGGGTTTTGGCCGTGCTGGGCCGTGGGTGCTCATGTGCTCAGCGCTCAGCATAACCCTTGGGCGCGGGGCCTCCCCCAAGCTTCCCTGGTGGCTGGCATTTCACACGTGAGTGTTCCAGGCGACGCCACTGCAGAGGCCTGGAGACACTCGGCCTGGTTTGCTCTGGATTTGCACCTTTCCTTCTGGTTTTGCTTTGTGCCCTTTTGTTGTCATTATGCTTTGTGTGACTGTGTATGACATTCTGTGAGTCTGCCCAGTAAATCCCTGAATCTGAGTATGGCTTTGAGGACCCCTGACATTTGGAAAGGTGCAGTTCATTCTTAGCCTTTGAACCCCACACAGTCGGAGGCTGCAGTGTGCTGACCCTGTTGAACATGCATTGTTAATACTTGTTTGTCTAGTTTTCTTATTTGCTTCATCTTTGTTTCCTGCTTGGTGAGGAGCTTCCTGAGCTGCCTTCTGTACTTCCCTCGAAATTCTCCTCATAGTCCCCCATCATTCAGGTGCCCTGGGCACTTACTGGAGCCAACTTTCAACTAAAGAGAAGTCATTTTATGCGGTATTGCTGAACTTTACAGAAATAGAACAACTAATGTGTACTTATGATGTTTTGCCAGTACTAAGCCTCAGTTTGCAAGTCTGTCCCCTACAGTTTGTTGAGCATTTCGTATAGGCTTTTAGTGTCTGTATCTCGGCTCCCAAATGTCACATACGTCCGCAGAGTGTACTGAGGTGCGAAGGTCAGCAGTCGCCACCAGTCACCTGCCTGTTCTCCAGACCTCCGGCTGAGCATGAGTGCTGAGGGCTGGAAGCGCTGCCTGTGGCCACATCTGGCCTGCCCTCCAGTTTCCTGTGAGTGTAGAATAACTTTTTGTTTTTGTATTGTTGAAGAAACTTAGACTACCTTGTCACATTTGGAAAGTGTATGAAATTAGATTTCAGCGCGCACAGCGCTTCATTAGTAAGTGGCCGTACTCCTGCGTTTGTTTCCTGTCTGTCTGCGTAGGGCTTTGGCACCAGCCTGACTCTGACAGACGCAGTTCAGTGTCTCATGCTTTACAGGGAGTTCGCTGACCATGGTCTGCTGTGCTGCATCAGTAAGTTAGCTGGACTACCGAATCAAGCTGAGTTTTACTACTCTGAGTCAAATGCAAAGCAGCCATGATCGGATTCGGACAGCTTCCATTGTAGGTTTCTAGAAGGGGTTGGCTCAAAGCCGGTGGTCACCACCTTCACTTCAAGTGGTGCTGTGCTGCCTGCCATGCTGTCCTTTAACACATGGTGTCTGATTTGTTGTGGAGCCTTCTGCCTTGGGCCAGAGCTCTCTTCTCAGTGACTGAGTTTCATAGAAACTGTAATGCAGTCACAGGGGTGATGGAACATGTTTCAGTTTCCTAAGTTGTAAGTGAATGCTAGGAATTAATTTTCTCTCTTTTTTTCTTTGCAAAGACTCAGTATCCCTTACAGATCTGGTGGTTCTGTTTATTCGGCTCATCTATTATTCACCAAGCCATCCAGATACGACACCAGACGTAGATTCAGGTAATCCTGCCTCTATTTTAAATGGAGAAAGTAAAAACATTGGAATTATTAAAGATCCAATTGTTTTGAATACCTGACCTAGTTTGGCAAATAGTTTTATTAAAATATAGTATTGCTCATAAGAAATTACATCAGGCCTGAAGTAAGCCATGAAATTTGACTGTTCACTGATGTAAGATGCCTCTGATCCACTAACCCTTGTATTTAGGCTCAGTTCCACTGAGACCATAATGTTATTCTTTATTAAAGATCAAGATGTCCTCAAGACATGGTCTTGTGGGAAGTTTGGTTGGTGGATACTCATGTGTCCTCTTTCTGACATTTTCTGTCCTTTATACTTTCCTGGATGTTGTGATCAGATTGCCTATTTTGGGCCACATCCAAGACTTTGATCTCCCTTCCTCTCATTGAAGAGTAAAGGAGAAAAATTTTTCATTTTTTTCTATAAGATCCTTTTTAGTTTTATGCCTGTTGAGTGCCTCATAAAAATGTATTAAAATATTAACATTTAAAAGTTATACTTTTTTCTTTGAATATCAATACATTCCCAAAGTAAAACACTGAATCCCAAGATATCCCAGCTTGGCCCCTGGAATTGGGATGAGCCCTGGACACGTTGGCACGGTTCTGAGGGGGGCTCAAGCAGTCAAAGCAAAAAGTGGTTTGGGCTCATTTTAATGCTATGAAGTACTTGCCAACTAGTAGGTTTTATGTATGCAGTAATAGTCGTTGGTTTTAATAGTGCACGGAATACTAGTTTAAGGCCCCTGCTTAATGCTTCTAAACCATCTTTCATGAAGAACGAGCCTTTCTTCATCCCAGTTACTTGCTCGTATTTTGCTGTGCCTCTGGTGGACCATTAGTGGTGTCCTCTTTGCCTGTGCGGCCACGAGGGTCCACACGGCAGGCACCAGGAGGAGACGCCTGGAGCAGTGAATGACAGCTGAGTGATGTCAGTGACACCTCTCCTGGCAAAGAGGGCTTCTTCCCCAGAGCCGCTGAAAACTCACTGCCGTGTCCTTTTCCAATGCCTTTGGTCGGTGTTGACTGACAGGTCAGCACATGCATGGGTGTGGACCGCTGTGACATAAGCAAGGGCTTTCTTAGTTCTGGGGTTGCATCTGGCTAGCCCAGTCCTCCTGGAAATACTTACGAGGGTATTTAAAAGTCACACTCATTGTGGGGACTAGTCTAACCATGAAACATTTGTATGTATTATGCTTTTCCATTCATCTTTTAAAAGAAGATCTTATAAATGCCCCTTGCTTTTTGGTGATAATACAAGAAGTATATCAGCTTCAGGAAATTTTGTGAAAGTTTCTGTTCTCCTCTGTCTTCTTTTTGCCAATAGTCTCTACTTAAAGACCCACTTATGTTTCTCCTGGGCTCCGTAGCTGCATACGTTACTATATAGGAAGAGAGAAAACGTGAATGCAAGTGGAACTGTTTCCTAGGAGAACCATATGTTCACTCTCAGGCAGTATTCGGATAGCAGACCGTGAAAGGTCTTGTATTCTTGTCATTTACCATTGATATTTTTGTCATTCACTACTTTCTATTTGCTGGAAGGTGTGTTAAGCAGATCGTAGTCTCTGGCTGACTGTGACAGTGTATCATCCTGTTGGTGCTCAGCTGCATGACCTTTGATGCAGAGCTTTACGGAGCAACAGTGGCTCACACATAATTAAAAGTAGCAGTCAGTATTTAGTGTTTTGAGTCTTGACTTTTCAAAATACTTTGTTTCTCAGAGGACTATTCCCCGGCAAGCATGGTGACGGAAATTCTGCAGATTCTCTGCGATCAGAAAGAATGTGCCATGGAATGCCTGTACAGCAGCACTGTGATCAGCACGCTCCTGCAGCCGATTCACAACCTAATGAAAGGGAACGAGGTTGGTGTTGTTTACTAAAAGACCCAGTGCTGGTGAACATTCAGCAGGACTTAGTTTTGATATATTTGAAATATCTTAGTACACTATCTTTCCAAACATGAAAATACTTTGTGCTGATACTGATTTTTATTTGTTAAATCGTAGTTTATGCAGCTGATGGATTTATCAGTTATGACAAGGAGGGTGTATGTACAACATCTTAATTTTTTTCCAGTCAGACTTAGATTTGCTGATGTGATGAACTTAGAGAGTTATTCTCTTAAGAAGCTATTTGTCGGGCCGGGGATTGAGCTCAGTGGTTCCGCTGCCTGCCTTGCAAGCACAAGGTCCTAAGTTCGATCCCCCCCCCCCAAAAAAAAATGGAAGAAGTTATTTGTCTTGCAGGTGTGAGAAGTCTTGTGAATTCCTTTTTATTTGTTTCAATGGCAGTTTTATAGCTTTTGGAGACAGTTACTTCCCCCAGCAGCCGGTGGGTTTTATTGTAAGAAGTAGACCACCTCAGAGAGAGACCCGGACTACACCCGGGTCCGGACAGACGGACGTGTGTCTCCTGCCCGACTGCGCCCTGTGCCTCCTTGCGCCGCCCGTGGCTGTCAGGAAGGTGCTTGTTCAAGGGGACCTTGCCGGGGGAGTTGGGGCCCTTGCTGGCCCTGCTGATTCTCCGTGTCGCTCTGTGCCTGAGGCTTCAGCTTCCGGCAGACCCCTGCGTGCATCGGCAGCCTGCAGGTCCCTGCCTCTGTTCCCACTCTGCAGTGAGCCGCTGGTTTCTCTCTCACACCCACGCTGCAGTGGGCCATCACGTGCTTTCCAGCTTGTTGTTTGCTGGATAAATTTCAAAAATTTCAACTTGGCGTTTCCCAGGCTTTCAGTGTTTTTGTCCTGTTTTCTTTCCCATCTATCCCGGTTTTGTTGTTGTTTTGGTACCAGGATGGGATCGAACTTGGCTCCTTGCGCTTGGAGGCAGGCCGCGGAACCACTGAGTAAATCCCCGGCCCCTGTCCGGTTTTGACAGGACACGCGTTTTCGGAAGAAGGCCACCGGGCCTCCCGGCGTAGAGACGTACGCTGGGGTCCGCACTTCGGGCGGGAACTTCTCTCCAGGTCCCGAGCAGAGTGCGGCGCTTTGTCCTGATCCCCCGGTGAGGGCGTCTGCGGTTCTGCTCGCTCCCCGCGGCGTTCACTCAGCTGCACACAGCCGCCAGCCGCGGCACTGCTGTGTGTCCTTGCTCTGAGCCGGGGGCTGCGACCGAGAGCCGAGTGGGAGAGGGAGGACAGGCAGGCTGCCCGCAGGAGTTACTCACAGTGAGGAGTAGCAGCTCCCCGCAGTTGGACCTGTGTGTGTGTGTGTGCGCGCGCGCGGGCGGGTACGTGCCTGCCCTCGGTCTGGGTTAAAGTTATTTTCAGAAAGCCCCGCCGGGCGTGGGAAGTCCAGGTTGTCCGTGTCCGCGGTGGACATCCCCGTCCACACTCCAGGTGGACACATCTGACTGTTCAGCTAACTCAGTGAGCGCACTGGGTGCGCCCTGGGAGCCCTCAAGGGGGAGGAGCCGGCAGGGCGGGAGGAGCCGGGCCACAGCGTCCTGTCCCCTGCGCTCCTAACTCGCTCACCTTCACAGCGCCCTCTGGGCCCTGCGGCTGTATCTGTATCTTGGCGGAGCGCGCAGCTGCCTCCGTTTCCAGGCGGGGCAGAGGGCGCTGGCCCACACAGCTGGCTTCCGCCTGTCTGCAGTGAGAGGCCCACTTTGGGCCGTCAGGTGAGTGAGGCGGTCGTGCCCTGAGTCTTAGGGGCGCTGGGGGCGCAGCAAGGACTGAAATAGGGGAGGTGTCGCGTGTGCTAACCAGTAGCAGCCGCTAGCAGCAAGTGGCCTGCCTGAGAATCCTGCATTTATTTGTCCCAGCAGCTTTTCTGGTAAAAGACTGAAGTCTGAGACTTATTATTACCCAGCCAAAGAAATCGTGGTGGCGGTGATGACGTTATAAGGCTGCATTCCACCCGGGAGGTGGCTAAAATGCCCGACTTGTCACTTTTAATGCACAGGCTGCTCCACATTGCTCAGAAACCGCTTTGATCCACGCGGCTGGTGTCCTGGCAAGAATCGCTTCTGCCGAGGAAGGACTTGCTTTGCTTCTGTATGGAGAAGACATGAGCCCTTCCGAAGAGGACAGGTCGGTGCCGTAAATCCGGATGAGTGTTTCGGCTGCAGTGGTTTCTAGGCCAGCCGCTCGTGCCCGGCTGGAGGGTTTTCTCTAGATCTCACGATCTCACGTCAGAGTCAGGGCGAGAGCCAGCCCCTCCAGGTGGGGTAGCCCGCCCTGGCTCATTATCTACCGGAGAGCCCCACGGGGCGCTGATTCCAGTCACGCCAAGCACAGGTGCGCAGTGGCAGGGTTTTCCCTCTCTCTCTCCCACCCGCCACCCAGCTCTGGCTCTTGCTCTTGTTCAGACGTCTACACCCTCTGCCTAACAATGCTGTGGCAACCGGAACAGCATATGTGTTTATCTCCTTTTGAAAATGGCATTGTATGATGTACATTACTCAGAAATTTGATTGTTTCACATGCAACTCTGGGTATTTTCCTAGGTGAGTACAGAAAGTAACGTTTTTGTATGGCTTTACCATAAACTATTCAATCAGACATGTCCCTTGAGAACATCAGGCTCTGTCTAGGATTTTGCCTCCATAAATAACATTGCAGTAAATGTTCCTTTTCTTCTTTAGCGTGTCGCTGTGATAGATTTCATTAATTGATATTTCCATGTTGAACCAGCCTGGAATGAATACTACTTGGTTGTAGTGAATAATTCCCGCTATGTATGTTGCCTGTGAATTTTTTTGCCATGTTCCTGAGAGACAACAGTTTCTAATTTTTGGCAGGCTGAGGTATTATTGGAATGCTGGTATTCTAAGTTAGGAGTTATTCCTTCTGCTTCTATCTTCCAGAAGAGAATATTGAGCATTGGTACAATTTCTTCCTTACATATTTGATTCACCAGTGAACCAGTTTGAGTTTGGTGTTTTCTGTTTCTGTTAATTAGTAATTGAGTTTCTTTGGTAAGTATGGGTCTATTCAGATTGTTCTTTTGTGAGTGTTGGCAGATTGTGTGATTCAAGAAGTTTATTCGTGCCTTGATCAAAAAAAATCTACACATGGGCATATAATAGTTAGGATTCCAGAAACCCAACAGAAGAACAAAATTCTACAAGCAGTGAGAGAAAAG